CAGAGAGAGAGAGAAACATGAGAGACAGAGAGAAAGGGAGAGCGAGAGGAACAGCGAAACGAAAAACGACAGAGACATGACAAGTTTGGTCCACCGCCGCACGCAGAGGCGTGCATCGGGGTGGAACGCCACCCGACTTCGATCACCCCGGAGGCACAAAGCGAAGCACGCACTGCACATCTGCCGACGACAGTCTGGTGCTGGCCGCGAGATGGAAACGGGAGCTCTCGCGTCCGATCGGTGTGCTCGGCGGCTGGCTCCTGCTGCCTGGTGGACGCTGGCTCGCGGCACCTCGTGGACGCTCTCCGCCCTGGGAGGTTTCTTCAGAAGGAGAACAACGCTATACACTGAGGTCGGGCATGTCCTCCTACAGGCGTGCTTTTGAAGAAGAGCGCACAAGAATCAAACAATATGCAAAATCGTCAAGAGAACTCAAACATTGCCCCCATACTATTGTTTTGACCATGTTTGATATTCCTCCTGTAGCGGGACATGCCCGACTTGACCATAACCATAGACTTTTGGCGCTCCACGCGGATTTCTTGGATCTGCGCTGGACCCACCCTCCCTGGCGCGCGGAGCGCGCCAGGGTCGGCGCGAAAGGCGCCGCCGGGGGGGTCCCGCGCAGATCCAAGGAATCCGCGCGAACAATTTATGTCTGTGTCGTTCGCTCTTCCTCGATTCTTCGAGGCCGACCCATCCTCTCGCCGTGCGTGCCGTCATCGTGCTGGCAGAGGGGACGCAGCACCGGGGAACGAACGGGGCTCTTCCTGCCACGGCGGGGGCCAGGGCCGCCGACGGGCCCCACGGCAGAAACCCAAGGAGCGGCCCGGAACCCCTCCCGAGCCCCAGAGCGGTCCTCGCTTCAGCGTCTCGACTAAGAGGCAGGCCTCCCAGGTGGGGTTCGAGGATCGCGCCGACGTCGCCGATGCATCACCGATGCATCGGCGACGTCGGCGATGCGTCGGGGACGTCAGTGGAGAAAAGCGGGCTCCACATCGAGCCGCATCGCCGATGCATCGGCGAGGCGGAGCGATCCTCCGACCCCAACTAGGAGGCCTAGATTGACTGTGCTCGCCATCGCTCGGACGTCCACTCCCCGTGCCTCTGTCGGTTTCGTGCTTCTTTATTGGGCTCGAGGACAGAGGAGGCTCCTCAATGATCCTCGCCAAATAAAAGCGCACACGCCCCAGCGATGCCAAGGTCTTCATTGTACCGATGCGGCCTCGGGTGCCGAACACGCGCGCCCCCCCACACCGAGCGTTCCGCCTGGGACGCCCGCGCTGGGCGCCGCCCCCAGCGTCGAGGCAGCACGAACCCGCCGTATATGCGGCAGGGGCACCCCGCCCCCTGTAGATCCGCCGCCGCGCTTGCAGCGGCCAGTGTGCGTCGGACCCTGTCGCCTCTTGCGAGGCCGCAGCTCACACAGACGCCCTCCGACGAACTTGGCATGTACCTTCAGGGAGGGCAGCGGTGCATAGATTCGCTGGCTCCCAGGCGGTGACTTGTACACCGCCATCTTCCCCCGAGGCCCAGGCACAGTCCAGCGGAGGGTGTCTGTGTATCTATTCTTGTGTGGCGGATAGATGGGGCCCTCCGGCGCAGCGGGCCCTGGGTGCGTTCGCCTTGTTCTTGGCCCTCCGGGCAGAAACTGGCGCCACAGACAGGGCTTGGGGAAGGAGGCTTCCGTGGACCCTCCCCCCTCCATGCCCCCCCCGAGGCCCCCACCACCCCGCGCCCGCCCGAGCGCGGTGGCGGAATCGCGCGGCAGCGCAGCTGGATATAAGTACAAAGCCGGAGCGCTCAGCGTGCGGGCTCATCGGCCAGGCTCCAGCCAGGCCTCATGGCCTCCGCACGCGATGGCGGCCGGCGCGCGCCCAGGCGCCCCCGCTGCGAGCGGGGCCTCATGTGCCCGGTGTGCGCGCCCAGCCCTCCGGCGATGGCGGCCCAGCGCGCGGTGTCAGTGTCAGCCCGCGCCTGGCAGCAAGTCGAGAGGCCACGGGGGCCCGCCCCCGTCAAGGCCTTCCGCGCGGGGCCCTCGGCTCGCTCATGTTGCTCCCGGGGCCGGGCCAGGAGCCTCTGGCCCGGGAGACTGCGAGCCATCGCAGGCCCCGGCCGTTCCTCACCACGGGGGCCTACTTCGGCTTGGGGGCCTCGAGCTGCTTGGGGCGGCGGTCCCTCCAGCCCTGCCTGCGCATGTCCAGCACGTCCTTCAGGAGGCACCGCGACCGCTTCTCGCACGAGGGGCGGTCCGCGGTGGCCTGCATCTCCGCGAAGACCGCGTCGAGCTTGTCCTTGTGCACCCACTCGTCGCTGTCGAAGCTCGGCCCCACCACCACCAGGAGCGCGGTCAGGGCCTCCAGCGCCTCGCGCGTGGGGCTGGAGAGCAGCTCGGCGATGATGGCGAGCAGGACCTTGCTTGCGAGGATCCGGCGCACGAGCAATGCGCCGACGAAGCGGATGTTGCCCAACATCGTCGTCTTGTAGCGGAACTCGGCCTCGGTCCGCTCTTCGCCGCCGAGCCGGTCGAGGCCCTCTGGGGGCGCGAGGTGGCGCTCGAAGGACGCCTGGCAGGCGCTCAGCAGAAGCCGCTTGAAGTTGAAGCTCGAGTCGGCGCCCACAGGGGGATTGGCCGCGAAGTGGTCGTGGAGCACCACGCAGAGGTCCGCGTACATGTCGATGAAGTGGTGCTGGGTGGTCGCCTTCTCGAACAGCTCCCCGATGAGCAGCTCGAGGTGCGCGGTCGAGCACCAGGCGCCGCAGTCGAGCAGCTGCTGGCAGAGGGAGGCAAAGTTGGTGAGGGTCAGCTTGTTCAGGATGGACTTAAGCTTTCTCTCCACCTGGTGAGCGTTTCCTTATTCGGCGTTTGGGCATCGGGCGGAAGGGGGGGAAGGGGGGGTCGGTCTGGCTCCAGACCTCTGCTCAGGGCGACAGTTTGCAACCGTGCGTCACATCGGGGAGATGCTCCACCTGCTCGAAACGGGTGCCAAAAAACAACCAAGATCTACTCCATAGGGGGGGGAGAGGGGGAAACGGGGGGGGACGAGGGCCCGCGTCAATCGGCAAAACAACGAATCAGAAAACGATAACCTGGCGAATGTCTTCTTAATTTCGGCGTCTCGCCATTGGGCGTAAGGAGGACCTCTCTGCTTCATTCACGTGACGGTTTGCAGCAGTGCGCCTCAGAGGGGGGGGACTCCACCTGCTGGAAACAGAAGCCAAAAAACAGCCAAGATGTACATTGTTCCTACCGCACTTAAGGACCACATCCCAAAAATGATTTCGAGCACCCAGAACGGTATGGAAACAGTGTCGAACGAGTATCGTCTCCCAGGGCCCGACTCTTGAAAACCCTCCAGTTTCGGTTCTTCCTTGGTGCTTAAAATTATTTTCTTCCTGGTGCTTCAGGCTAAAGCAGGTCGGAACTTCACAAGCCGAGATCTACTTCGTGGGTGGGGGGAGGGGGGAGCGAAGGGCCGCGCCGATCGGCAGAACACAACGAGCAAGACGGCGACCACCTGCTGCGAGGCGTCCCCGTCCGGCACCCCGCCGCGGCGCGTCCGCTGCTGCGCGGCCCACGAGGTCTCCGACACCGCCAGGCCCTCCTGCGCGGCCGGCTGCGGCCGCGGGCGACGGGCGGCGCCCCAGCGCGCGGGCTGCTGCGGCGGCGGCCTCGGCGGAGGCTCCAGCTCGCCGCGCCCTGCCGGGGGCTCCGCGGCCACGAGCGCGCCCCTGGCGAAGCAGTCCTTCGAGACGAAGGCGGGGCGAGGACAGAACCGGGTGAGGGTGACTAAGCCGAGAATCTCTGAGATCCAGCGGCTCTGCAGGATGTCTCGGGCGCCGCGGCCTCCTCCGAGCGCTGCGGCACGCCCTGCGAGAGCGTTCCAGGGCGCTCTGAGAGAAGGCCGCGGCGCGCCCGACGCCCAGCCCCGGCCCCTGGCGGCGGGGGCTGCTGGGCGGCGGTCTGCTTCATGGAGACATCCAGCATGCTCTGTGAGCGTTCCGGATGTGTCTTCGTCCCGCCACAGTCGGGGCTGCTTGGAGAGGACACGCGAGAGGACACAAGACCCCTCTGGAGGCCACGCTGCAGCAGGCATGCAGCAGGCACGGGCCGCGAAGCGCAGGACACGAGGCTCCCCTTGATCTGGCAGGGCCGTCTTATGATTCAGCCTCGACGGTCGCCACGCCCGGTCCTTGCCGCGCGGCGACTCGGCGCCTCCGGCGTGGCGCCAGCGCAAGAGCTCACCGACCGCCGTCGGCGCCACGTCGCGCGCCGGCTCCAGGCGGGGCGCCTCCTGTTTGGACGCCCGACATGGGTACCGAAAAAATGGGCACAATGCCCAACAGCAAATGTTGTCCCAAACCATCAGCGGCCGCTGTTGGGCAGGCGGCCCTCTGTCTCGAATGGACACAGGCCGCGGCGGCGCGGACAGCGAGTCCTGCTCAAAATGAACAGGAACTGCTGTTGGGCATTGTACCCACTTGTTCCGTATCCTCCTCGACCTCCTCCTCCTCCTCCTTCTCGACATCCTCCTCCTCCTCCTCCTCCTCCTCCTCCTCCTCCTCCTCCTCCTCCCCATTTCGGGCGTCCAGATCCTGCCCGCCCACCGACTCCGGCTCCGGCTCGCCGGCGCTGAGGGAGCAGAGCTCGGCGGACTCGGAGCCGTCGGCCTCGGTCGCGGAGTCGTCGGTCGTCCTCGGCGGAGGTCAAAGAAGAGCCTGGCTTGCTGTCTTTCGATTCGGGCAGGCTTGCTTGCCTGGCGTTCTTCGCCCCCCTCCCCTCCCCCCCCTCGCCCCTCTTCAGTCGCATCCGAGCGAACTTCGACTTGCGTGATTTTTCCGCACGCCGAGTCGTTCGCGGCCTGCTTCAGGCTCAGCCCCCCGCCCCGTCCACGCAGGCAAACTTGCCGGAGTCTAGAACAAACACAGGCCCCACCATTCGGCACAGGTAATTACTAGGGATCCCAACTTCGCGCTTCGCGCTGCGCGAAGCGCGAAGCGCGAATAACTTCGCGCTCTCGCGCCGCCCCCCCAAAGGGACAAAAGGAGGACGAGGAGGAGGGGGAGGAGAAACGAGGACCGCGAAGCGCGAAGCGCGAATAACTTCGCGCCCTCGGGGGAGCCCTTGGTAATTACCAGTTTTCGGAGGTCCGCGCCGACTGCTCCGAGCGGCGCCGGAGCCGCCCCCCTCGCTGGGCGCGCCCGCGAGGAAGGCCTTCTCCGAGAGGTCCGCGCGGATCTGCGAAGACTGGCGTGCTTCTTCCTGCCCGCAGCACTGGTAAACAACAGGGTGACCAGGTGATGACAGTCACCGTGTGTCCGAGCTCCGTGAACCACCACGCAACCTTGACATGAACAGAAAAAACGGGGGACCGACACTCGGGGACCTGTCGCAACGGCGGAAGACTTCCCAGACCCCCGGGGTCATGATTGTTTCGTTACGTCGACCACCCAAAGTCTCGACCTATTTGACCAAATTGTCACCCTGAGTCGTTTCTGACGGCCCCGAGGCCCGGTAAGGGCCCCCCGAGGCCGAGGATGGCGAAACGCCTCCAGTCGTGATTTTTGCCCTGCTCGAAGGGGTCTGGGTTCAGTGCTCCTGCCGACAGTTTCTTGCCGTCGCTCGGACGTCCATTCCCCGTGCATTTTCCGGTTTCGTGCGTGTTTGCTTTTGCCCGATGGTCCAGCATGGTCCTCGATGGTTCTCGCCGAGAGAGGAGGAGGAGGAGGAGGAGGAGGAGGAGGAGGAGGAGGAGGAGGAGGAGGAGGAGGAGGAGGAGGAGGAGGAGGAGGAGGAGGAGGAGGAGGAGGAGGAGGAGGAGGAGGAGGAGGAGGAGGAGGAGGAGGAGGAGGAGGCCCCCACACACTCCTCCTCCTCTCCTTCGGCTCCTGTCGCAGGCGAGGTCCGCAGCGCAGTCGGCGCACGGCCCCGTGCTCGGCTTCTGGGCGGCCTCGCCGCTCGGGCGCTGCGTCGGCGAGGGCTCCGCCGCCGGCTCGGCCGGCTCGGCGGCGCGGAGCACTGGCGACGGGCACTCCTGGGCATCGTCTTGCGGGGGGAATCCTGGAAGCCTCGCGCGGCAACTTGAGACCCGATGCACAGTCGGGGCGTTGACCTAAGGAACCCTAAATAAGCAACGAGGCCCCTGTTTTCCATAAGTTAAACTTCGATTTCCGATCGAAAGCATAAGGGAAACCTGAGGCAAGCTGTGAAACACTTCAGGAACGCGGAGCCCCTCCCCAACCAAAAGGGTTCCTTCTTCAGGGCCCCGACTGCACGTCGGATCCACGTCGGATTTACGTCGGGTTTACGTCGGGTTCACGTCGGAATTACGTCGGATCTACGTCGGACTGACTCCGGAACAGCGCCGCGCGGGCGTCGACTCCTTTGTAGCTTCCGGAGCCGACGTGTGGACTAGATAGTGCTGCTATTACGCGCCGCGCGAGGCCTCCAGGATGTTCCTCATAAATCGTCTGACCGAGGAGGAGGAGGAGGAGGAGGAGGAGGAGGAGGAGGAGGAGGAGGACGTTGCAGGAGGATATCCCCACTGGCGTGGCCTGCGCCCCACTGGTGGCTTCACCCCCCACGCGGCGGAGTTCGGAAACCCTGGGCCCAAAAACGCTTCCGCCTACTGGAAACACCTCCTTTACTTCCGCCACCTTCCGCCGCCCTTCTGCTGGCTTCCGCTGGCGGAGGCGGCCTCGTTTTACCTCCGCCGACCTTCCGCCGCGGAAGGGATGACTACTCCTTCGCCCCTCGAAAGCAAGGCCATTTTTGGAGCGCCCCACATGGGGATACAGGCTGTTCCCTCACGGCTTCGATGGGCCTATCCCCCTATCCCCAACAGGGGCGGTGTGAAGGTGGGGCTGAGACACCACGGCCAAATGGGGATGGGGAGAGGTCAAGCGTCATTGAGCTCCTTCTTGCGAGGCTGCGCCTCGTCATCGTCGGAGTCGGAAGCGTCGGAAAACTGGTCCAGGTTGAGCATCTGACAGCCTCCAGCGCCCACCGAGAAGCCCTGGGGCTGCGCCCAGCAGTGCTGCGGCCACGCCTGCACCTCTGCCCCAGAGCCCCAGTGCTGCTGACAGCCAGGCCACTGCTGGTTGACCGAGAAGCTCTGCTGTCCAGGCTGAAAGCTCGCGCCTGCCCAGTGGCTCTCGCAGTGGCCCCACTGCTCACCCTGGGTGCCCATCCACTGGGAGCTGGAGTAAACCATGCACGGGCTCATGTCAGAATTCATGTTTGCGCTGTGGATTTTCAGCCTGCTTTACTTAGAGTTCGTTCGCGGTGACGGAATGGACCGTCAAGCTACAATTGCTGCGGAGGCGTGTGATATGTAGAAGATCTCGCCGTAAGGTTGCACGGCTTGAACCAGAACTAGTTGCGGAGCAGCAGCCTTCGCCTCCAACTTCGACCCAACCACAACCCCCAACTTCCAGCCGCAGAGCAAGCCCGGTCCTGGCCCTCAGCCACGGCGTTCAGCCCGATCCCCGGCCGCAGCCTTCATCCCCACCCCTAGGCGTAGCGCACGCACGCGCAACAAGAAATGTCGCTATCCTTCCAGATAAGCATCAGCACAGCCATACTCACACACGAATGCACCACCACGCACGCGTGCAAACGCATCGTACATATACGAAACACTTGATCTATGGGCAGCCGCCTGTACATCCTATGTGAACCAAGACTGGGATGCCCCAGGGTACTTCGAGCCATATGTTGCTCAGCGTGCGCTAAGCCTAGAAGCTGCAATTCCGCAAACACCTGCAGAAGCCCGCGTCGAGCCGCTTGCCTGCAAGGTCTGGATCCCCATCTGCATGCACATCTGCGTCTGCCTAAGACTGCAAGCTTCCGTGCCCCCGGACAGCCAACGGCACGCCTTCTTCACGGCACGACCCCACCAGCCATACCCGCCGCCAGGCTCCTTCCATCGATCGTGCTTCGTTCAGGTTTAGCCGAATACCCTGGGAGGAATGAATCATCGATCGTAAGACAACGCGTGCATGCACAATCCTGTCCGCCACCGTGCCTCGTGCACGTTGAGACGCAGAAGAATGCCGAGGGCTGCCTGATGTATTTTTTGTTTTGCGTTTTCAGATCGACGGCGAGCGAGGGGGGGAATTGAGAAGGGGCGGGCCTCCTCAGAAGGTTCGGATGCCCCCCCCGCCTTCTGAGAAGTCTCCTAAACTTCCACCGATGACAGCAGCAAACACTTCTCGGAAGGCGCGAGGGTTTTTCTGAGACGTCCCGCCGCCTTCTGAGCAGGCCCTCTCCTTCTCACTTCCCCCCCTCGGCGCGCTGCCGAGCTTGGCTTTTGGATCACGACTCGGGTCTCCGCCGTGCCGTTCGGGACAGTCCCAGCACCCCCGGGAACGCTCTCGCCAAGGCGCAGCCGCTGGAACCCATCCCGAGGCTGGATAACCGCCGAGAACCGAAGATGACGCCCACAAACCTAAGACCTCGAACCTGAAACTTCCCCCCCCCCCCCTCGCCGCCGATCCTAGCCCCCCCCCTCGCCGCCGATCCTAGCCCCCCCCCCTCGCCGCCGATCCTAGCCCCCCCCCCCTCGCCGCCGAACCTGAAACTTCCCCCCCCCCTCGCCGCCGATCCTAGCCCCCTCCCCCCCTGGGCCGCGCCTCCCCGCTTGCACCGCCCGATCCCCCGCCGAAAAGCCACGACCCCTCGTCAAAAAACCCACGGAGGGGGCCCGCGCCCCTCGAGAGGCCAGGGCCCCTCGAGGGGGGAGACAGAGCACGAGTGGGCTGGCGCACCGAGGTTCCCCGAGACGGCCCTGTGCAGGCAGCCAGGGACACCAGAGAATCGCCCAGGATGCCTCGAAGGACGGCCCACGGGGGCCCCCGGGGCGGCCGAACTTGGCCTCGAGGCGCCCCTGAGGTGCCTCCAGGATGGCCACAGACGGCAACGAGAGGACCTCGACCCGGGTGTCTGAACGGCTTCCGCACTCCCGCATGCTCGGGTTCCCGTCAGCTCGAGACGACCCACCGTACGGCCAAGAGGGCCCCGAGACGGTCCACGACGGCCCAAGACGAGTTCCATGAGAGCTCCTCGAATGGTAAGGATAAAAGGGTGTCACATGTGACGGCCTCCCTCTGCCTCGTCCTCCTCCTCCTTCTGCTGATCCTCCTCCTCCTGCTCGTCATTACCATCACCATCACCATCACCATCATCATCATCATCATCATCATCATCATCATCATCATCATCATCATCATCATCATCATCAGCAGCATCAGCATCAGCATCAGCATCAGCATCAGCATCAGCATCATCATCATCATCAACATCATCAACATCATCAACATCAACATCATCATCATCATCATCATCATCATCATCATCATCATCATCATCATCACGAGTATCATCATCAGCATCAGCATCAGCATCAGCATCAGCAGCATCAACATCATCATCAGCATCAGCATCAGCATCGACATCATCATCATCATCATCAGTATCATCAGTATCATCAGTATCATCATCAGCATCGTCAGCATCAACATCAGCATCATCATCATCAGCATCATCATCACCGGCATCAACAACACCATCACCATCAAAAGCGGCATCATCATCACCATCACCATCACCACCATAATCATGACCACCACCATCATCCTCATCATCAGCATCATCATCACCTACATCATTATCATCACCATCACCATCATCATCATCACCATCATCAGCATCCTCATCATCATCAGCAGTATCATCATCGTCATCCTCATCCTCACCATGATCCTCCTACTCCTCCTCCCCATCCTCATCCTCATCCTCATCCTCATTAGCAGCATCATCGTCATCACAATCATCCTCGTCATCGTTATCATCATCACCCTCAGCCTCATTATCATCAGCATCACCATCACCACCATCATCATCGTCATCATCATCACCGTCGTCATCAACAGCAACATCATAACCATCATCATCATCATCATCATCATCATCATCATCATCATCCTCATCCTGATCCTCATCCTCCTCCTCCTCCTCAGCCTCCTCCTTGGCCTCATCCTATTCCGAGAGCGTTCGAGGCTAGCGCCAGATTCCGCGAGTTCGTAGCGAGCGGTAGGCTCCCGCCTCCTCCACGTCAGAGTGCTCCCGAGCTTTTCGCATTTCAGGGGCCAGGTCTTCCACAATGCTTCCTGATGCACCGTCCTCCACCCCCCTCCCGAACCGACGCGACAAGGCAGGGGCACGGGGGGGGGGGGGGGGGGCGAACCCAAGTCGAAGGCCGAAGGAAGCAGCGCGGGGGAGCATCCGCGAGGGCGGGTGCTGCCCCGCCCGCAGGCCCCTGCGTGGGGGTAGGACGGTGCGGGAGGGGCCCGCACGGGCTGTGACGTCAGCGCTCCCAGCGTAGAAGGTGAACGCAACTAGGCCGCAGACTTTCGTCACGGACTCACGGCTTCGTCTAGAGTAGGCGTGACATCCAACCGAGACCCGATAGCTCGATCGATCGATCCTCCTCATCCTCATCCTCATCCTCAACACGATCCTCATCCTCATCCTCATACTCATCCTAATCCTCATCACCATCACCATCACAAGCAACATCACCATCAACCTCATCATCAACGTTATCATCATCACCATCACCATCACCATCATCACCATCACCATCATCATCATCATCATCACCACCAGCAGCATCACTATGCTCATCATGCTCATCATCCTCCTCCTTATCATCATCCTCATCATCCTCATCATCATCAACATCAGCATCATCATCATCATCATCATCATCATCAGCACCATCATCACCACCAGCAGCAGCAGCACCATCATCATCAGCATAATCATCAGCATCATCCTCCTCATCATCAACATCATCATCAGCAGCATCATAGTCATTACCTTCGTCACAACTCTCCCAAGCCTAGAGACACGACATGACACATTCGACTGCCTCCCGTGCTCACCCCCCGAACAATCGCCGCTGGAACTGTCTGGTTGGCACAGAGGACTTGCCGCATGCGGCCGGATAAGACGCACCTGGTGCCTCCTGGAGGACGACTTGCCACGACCAACAAAAAGAGAGCTCACGACCCCGTCGCCCTGACTGGCTCGCCGGCACGGGCCTCCTGCTGATTGCCCGAGGGGCCCAAGCCCAGCCTGGCCCCTGGAGGTCGTCAAGGTCGTCAGGAACCAGCAGGGTCGCTTAGAATAGAAGAAGAAAACACGCCATAAACATAAGCTTTTTGGCACTCCGCGGATTTCTTGGATCTGCGCTGGACCCACCTCCCTGGCGCGCGGAGCGCGCCAAGGGCGGCGCCGGAGGTGCCGCCGTGGAGGGCCTAGCGCAGATCCAAGAAATCCGCGCGGAGCGCCGGAAGTTTCTGTTCATGGCGTTCTTCTTCTTCTTCTTCGACAGGTCCCCGTGGAGGCCCGAATCGAATCCAGACAGATTGGCAGCCGTCGCTCGCGCCCAGACACCGACCAGCCACAACAGGGGGAGCTGTGGTCATTACCCCCCTGGGGGAACCCATCGCGTCGACGATCTCTCGAAAGGAGTGTCGAAATCGATGGGTCCCCCAGGGGGGTAAGGACCACAGCTCCCCCAATTGTGGCTGGCCTGAGACACGCCTCACGGCCCGACGAGGTGCGGCTCCTCCACCGCGGCCCGCCCTGGAGCGCGCGCGCCGGCCAGGATCCCGAGGCGGAGCTGGCCGTGGCCGGCTGGGCAGGGCGTCGGCATCGGCATCGTCGTCGTCGTCTCCGTCGTCGTCGTCGTCGTCGTCGTCGTCGTCGTCGTCGTCGGCGTCGTCGTCGTCAGAGAAACGGAAGGCACCCCCTTCATGCTGCAGCGCTGCTCTTGGAGCCACACGGGGTGCTCGTGCTGGCCTCGACTTCCGGGGCCCCGAGGAGGCGCCGAGGGCCCCCCCCCTGGGGGAGGCAGCAGCAAAAAGGGAGGACGGGTGCCCCGTTCTGCTCTTCTTCTCTCTCCGCAGGTGCGGCCGTTCGACCCCATCCTGGGGCGGCGCCCTCTGACCACGGAGTCGAAGTGAAGCCAGCCGTGGCGACGGGGCCCCTCATCCCCCCCCCCCGCAGGCCCAGAAGAAACGGATGAGGAGGAGAAGGGGGAGGCGGAGGAGGTACAACGGGGGCCAGTTCACAGGAAACGTCCTACAAGAAACCCAACCCTGAGACCCCAGGGCGAACATCGACTTCTGGTGTGCGAATGTCACGCTTCCCATCGCGAAGCCATCGAAGCCATGGCAACCCAAGGCACCGTGGAGGCAAGCAGGCTGTTTCTTGGCATGGGTCTCCACTGTAGAGCCAGGATGATGACAATGAGGCACAAGAGTCGGCCACACGCAGGAGCGACCCTGGGCAAAAGTGGCCCCTGGTGCGCGGCTTGCGGATCGTTGCACGCGAGGCGCGATGCGACAGTGGCGGACCGCGCGCTTGGTTTTGCTTCCCCCCCCCTGGTGGCTTACTCGAGTCTTACGTTTCCCCGATCCTGGAGGCCGCA